GTGTATAAGACATACAAGTAAGACTGTCCTGGATGTATCTTTCGCTACATCGCGTCCGCCTTCCTTCAAGAATTTCCTCCTCCTCCTCGACGTTGTTTGAGCAGTTGCATTCTGGTCCGAGAACGATACTCCTCTCAGTGGATAAGTAAGTGAATAAGTACGTGGATAAGTAAGTGGATAAGTAAGTGGATAAGTAAGTGGATAAATGGATAAGGTTGTAGATAAGGTTGTGGATAAGGTTGTGGATAAGGTCGTGGAAAAGTAAGTGGATAAATGGAAAAGGAAGTGGATAAATGGATAAGTAACTGTATAAGTGGATAAGTGGATAAGATAAGTGGATAAGTGGATAAGGAAGTGGATAAGTGAGTGGATAAGAAAAGACTGGAGGCCGTCAGATGCATAAATCAACGGCAGTGATACTGGTGATCAGATCTGTTCTCGCTGCATTTCACCTACTTACCTAACTACCTACCTACCTACGTACCTACCTACCTACCTACCTACCTACCCACCTAACTACCTACCTACCTACCTACCCACCTAACTACTTCTGGTGATCAGATCTATTCGGATCGCATATGACATAGCAACCTACCTAACGACCTACCTCAGGTGATCAGATCTATTTGCGGGCATATTACCTACCTCCCTCCCTCTGGTGATCAGATCTATTGTGCTCCCATATTTACCAAACTACCTACCTCTAGTGATCAGGTCTATTCTGCTCGCTTATCACGTAACGACCTACCTACCTCAATTGATCAGATCTATTCTGCTTCGCTTATCACCTAACTACCTACTTAACGACCTCCCGTGTGGTGATCAGATCTCTTCTGATCGCTTATTACCTAACCACCTACCTACCTACCTACCTACCTACCTACCTACCTACCTACCTACCTACCTATCTACCTACCTGCGTGCCTCTGGTGGTGAGCGATCAAGCCGATTGGTATGGACAAGCTATTTTCAAAGAATGATCGAGTGAAACGGATTAGGCGGTTGACCTTTTGGAATGAAAAATGAATGTTTGGAACGAATGGATGCGGTCGTCATTGGGGACTACATTCTGAAGTTATGGCTCAGTGCGGTTGGAGCTTCGACAACATCAATGCAGTTTTCTTTCCAATCAAGTCTTCTTGAAATATGCTCTCCAAGTACTCGAAACAACACCGCCGAACGACAGATAAATAGATACAGATACAAATAGATAGATAGATAGATAGCGAGCGAGCGAGCGAGCGAGTGAGAGAGAGAGAGAGAGAGAGAGAGAGAGAGAGAGAGAGAGAGAGAGAGAGAGAGAGAGAGAGAGAGAGAGAGAGAGAGAGAG